AGAGAGAGAGAGAGAGAGAGAGAGAGCAATCCCTTTCTCCCATCCATGGACGATGTGTTCTACACATATGGCGGACCCTTTAAAGACAGAGGGAGCCCGTTATCAATATGGTGGGTGCATTTCAGAGCAGTTGTTTATCTGACACGTGTGATGGATTGCATTGGTTGATTGGTTGCATGGATTGATTGGTTGCATGGATTGATTGGTTGCGTGGATTGATTGCATGGATTGATTGCATGGGTTGATTGCATTGATTGATTGCATCGATTGATTGCATGGATTGATTGATTGATTGTTTGCATGGATTGATTGCGTGATGGATTGCGTTGATTGATTGGTTGCATGGATTGATTGCATGGATTGATTGATTGATTGCACTTATTGATTGATTGCGTGGATTGATTGCATTGATTGATTGCATGGGTTGATTGCATTGATTGATTGCATTGATTGATTGCATGTGTTGATTGCATTGATTGATTGCATGGGTTGATTGCATTGATTGATTGCACTGATTGATTGCATCGATTGACTGGCGAATTGCATTGATTGATTAATGAATTGCATTGATTGATTGATGAGTTGCATTGATTGCATTTATTTTTATTGATGAATTGCAGTGATTGATTGATTGCCCGGTTCATTACTCTGGAGTGCAGGCAAGCTGTCAGAGGAGTAGACACCAGGATGACAGAGATTGCAATGCCCTCCTTCCTTCCGCCGACGATCTGTGTTCCATATGCATGGCGGAGCCATTGAGGAGGGCGCCCGTTATTAAAATGAGATGTGGCCATGTTGTCCATAGGCAATGCGCCGTCGCAAAAGTAAAGGCTGGGTATCCAGGGCCAGCGATCAGCTTTGGGTTTCTTGGTTGCCCTCTCTGCTCGGCCGAGATGGCGCACTCGAGTTTGGATCAGCTCATGGCGAAGCCGCGGGAACTGAAACGAGCGGTAAGCACTTTTTCCAACTTTGCAGAGAACGCAGGCTTACCTTACCTCAGCTTTTTGACACTTGTGGTGATCTCGTTTCGTTGTTATAACATCATCACAAAAGGCAAATGCTAGATATTTGATTGTTCACACAACCACTGTTTGTGCCTTTTGGATGGCTGTGAGAGAGAGAGAGAGAGAGAGAGAGAGAGAGAGAGAGAGAGAGAGAGAGAGAGAGAGAGAGAGAGAGAGAGAGAGAGGTGCGTTGGTGCCCACGTTTGTGTGTGTGTGAGAGAGAGTGAGAGGGAGGGGGATTGGGAGAAAGTGGAGAAGGTGTGTGTGCGATCGTGACCACGTGTATGTGTGTGTGTGTGTGTGTGTGTGTGTGTGTGAGAGAGAGAGAGAGAGAGAGAGAGAGAGAGAGAGAGAGAGAGAGAGAGAGATGGCGATTTGCACAGAAACAGTTCGTCTGCGTGAATCTGCTATAAGGAAATTGCTGGTCAGGAGCAGATGAATTTGTTTGTTGGGGGAAATGTGACCAGGTGCATCGCGCATGTGGACAGCAGCCGATCCGTAGTTATTCTGCATTGCTCCGGCGATGTGTCTTGCCGACTTGCTCCTTTCTCTTCCACCCCAATGGCCACTTGATTAACCAATGCACTCTTCAGTCAAAATGTGACCAGGTACATGCCACATCTTGAAGGCAGTAGGTCCCTTGGGTTGGGACCTGCGTTGAGTGACCGCCCTGCAAGTACGTTTCCCAGCTATGTTTTCAGCGCGTATACAACTGCGACTCTCCCTGGGAGTACGGGGCTGCCCATTTGCTGGAGATGGTGCTGGGTATCCGTGCAATCAAAACGGGCAAAAAAAAGAAAGAGAAAAAAACGGTCCTCGCATGTGACTGAATTTGCCTGGATGGAGATCCAGCGAAAAAAGGCGCCCAGTCCTTCGGGACATCCGTTAAAATTGGAACGATACAGAGAAAGAAAAGATTAGCATGGCCCCTGCGCAAGGATGACACGCATAAATCGAGAAATGGTCCAAATTTGAAAGAAAAAAAGAAAAAAAAAAAAGAAGGCGCCCAGCCGCATATTCGTTTTTTTTTTCTTTTTTCTTTCTTTTTTTCATATTCGTTTTCGAAGCGGGGGAAAGGGGAAAGGCATATTGGTTTTCCAAGCGGGGCCAAGCTGGCAAATGTACTGGGGCTAGGTCCCACTTGCACGAAATAAGAGATACTGACCGTAGATAGCAAAGATCAACGGCCCAAATCTCTTAATTTGCGCAAGTGGGACCTTGCCCCTGGTGGTATGGATATCCAGCGAAACGGTGCCCCAGTACTCGCGTATTTGTTTTTCAAGCGGGGGAAAGGCATATTTGTTTTCCCAGCGGGAAAATGTACCGGCGGGGAAACGCGCCGGTGGTTTAACTTCCGTATAATGCCCCCTAAAAGTTGGGGTATTTGGTCAGATACTGCCAAAAGATGAAAAGGCCCAAACTTGTGCATATGCCTCTGTCCCGTCCATGGGCAACTTTCCCTTATGCCCTTGGCGGCCCGTGGACTGCCGAGGGGTACACACTTCTTTTTGAAACGTGCCCCTCTACCGGGCAGACATCTTTCCTGCCTGCCCCACAACGAACGAACTTGGCCCCGGCCCCGGGACCAATTGGAATTTTGAACATGTTTGTTTTCTGTTGACGCATCTATTTTCCGCTTTTCTTAGTGTTGCCCCTTCTTCTTTTTTGCTCGTTTTAGGGTTTTGCCCTCGTCGCCAGTTCTGGTCGCAATGTGGGGACCACAGCCGGCGTCCTCCACTTGCTCGGCTTCGTCTTCCTTCCCCTCCCCTCCCACGTTTCCTCCTCCTCCCTCTTCATATCCCGCACCTCCTCCTCCTCTACTCCCGCCTTCTCACATTTCCATCGCCATCATCCTCCCTCCTTCACTTCTACTCCCACCTTCCCATCTCAGACTCTGCCCCTTTATCGTCATTTCGGTCTCCGTCTCCATACGGAGCCATGGTCAAGGAACAAGAAGACGAGACGTCAACAATCTGCTCCATTTCCAGAAACACTCCCGGTAGGGCTTTGAACGGCTACAGGGGCAAACGGAAAATTTGGCAGCTACCGGTAGGGGCATGTCCAAAATTTTCCGCCTGCTCCATTGCCAGAAACACTCGCTGGCAGGGCTTTGGATGGCTACAGGGGCAAACGGAGGTAGGGCTTGGAACGGATATACAGGGGCAAGCGGAAAACTTGGCAGCTGCGGGTAGGGGCATGTGCAAAATTTTCTGCCTAGGGTCCAACGGCCAGAAATACAGGGCGTATGGACAAGTTGCATAGGCTCCGGTAGGGGTATATGCACAAGATGGTGGGTCCAATCGGAAAGTGGGGTATTTGGCAGAGTTTCAAAACCGTCATAGGGGCATTTCTCGCCATACCCATGCCTTCTAGGGGTATCTGACGAAATACCCCAATTTTCAGGGGCATTTCAGCAATTTTCCTTATATTTTATAATTACAAAGGATCAAAATGGAAATAACAAAAAGAGAAAAAGAAAAGGACAGTTAAATTGGGAGTTTTCTTGTGAACACCAGGTGCCGAAAGATTTTTCCATCAAATTCCAACATCTGATCTGGAGGGGTGATATCCCCCTTGCGCGGGGGGTTTAAGAGAGGGGTGGGTGATCGTCATCATTTATGGACACAGTGGGCCTGGCTCCACTACTTACAATATGCACAAAAGCTAGGCTACCAGAGTGGCCCGGGTCCACTTGCTCGGCCTGGCCAAAAATAAATAAAAAATAAAAAATAAAAAAATATATATAATTTTTTAATTTTATTTTAAATTTGGTAAAGAATATCGATGTGACCGTGAGGCAAAACTTGTGACCCTACCAAAAAAAAAAAAAAAAAAAAACTTGTGACCCTGAGGCAAAAGTTGTTCAGTTGGATGCCGGACCCGTTTTCCGGTTGGTATAATTCAATAGCAGCCGTCGTATAAACCAGGCCGGTGTACCGGGATCATATGACACTGGCTGCCCTTCCGGGGGAAAAAAAAAAAAAAAAAAAAGTTGTTCAGTTTATTTTTCTGTATAACATAGTTTTGTTTTCGGATTTTTTTGATGTTTTTGATTTTTTCTTTTTGGCTGGGACCTTCCCTAGTCTTTGCTCGGCCGGGCCGCCCAGGAAAATAGGGTGATCCGGACGGCCCGGCTGGTAGCCTAGCACAAAAGACAAAAAATATCGTGGTGTTATCTTCCCATGTTCTAGGGAAAGATTCGTTCTCATTTTCATTTTGCACATTTGGTGAGTGGTGGTGTGAGGCCGAGTATCTCCGAGGCCATCCAAGTGGGACCTTGGATGGCCCTTGCCCCAGGTTTGCGGAAGACAGACGGCAACGTCATTAGTACGCATCATAAAGAATGAAATCTTTTTTGTTTTGCCCCTCCAAAGATTCGTTTATTTTCGATCTGTCCCTCAAACAGCTGGGTTACACTGGCATGCCCCTCTGACGGTAGAGTTCGAGGCAGTTCAAATTTGCAGAATGTCCCTGAGCTCTCCTTGGCCAGACATTTTTTTCAGTATGTCCCTCCTGCACTTGCATGCACGGACATTTGTAATTTGCCCCTACTGGAACAGGGCATTATTTTTGACACTTGCATGGGCGGACGTTTGCAATTTGCATGGACGGCTAGGCTACCAGCCGGGCTGCCCAGGTCACCTTGTTGGCGGATGCGCCCCAGGTCACCTTCTTGGCGGATGCGCCCCAGGTCACCTTGTTGGCGGATGCGGCCCAGGTCACCTTGTTTTGCATGGACAGCTAGGCTACCAAGTGGGCTTCCCAGGTCACCTTGTTTTGCGTGGACGGACATTTGCAATTTGCATGGACATCTAGGCTACTGGCCGGGCTGCAATTTGCATGGCCGATGCGGCCAAGGCCATGACCCCACGGCTGCGTGGTCACAGACATTGCGGCCGCTTTGGTGCCCAGGCGGGGTGGGGTGGGGGTGGCGGATTGGGGTTGCGCAACCCCAACCCTGCCCCCTAGCAGAAGAATAAAATAAGTTTAAATAACATAAAATAAAACGAGTTTTGGGGGACGGGGGAAGGGGAGGGATGTGAGTCAGAAAAAAAGAAAAGAAAAAAACGTCTTGATTGATTTATTGACTGATTGATTGATTGATTGACTGGTTGATTGATCGACTGATTGATTGCTTGATTGACTGATTGTTGATTGATTGGTGGGGGAGGTGTCGCCCCTCCCCTCTTTTACCCTCCCTCTCTCTCGCACACACACACACACACACACACACACACACACACACACACACAGTGCTTTGTTGAGGAAGTTGTTTTGCCATCGGCTTCTGCATGTATGCATGTTGGACGTGAAATCGAGACGAGTCTGAATGCAGCCTTTTCTCGGCTTAAAAAAAAAAAAAAAAAAGGTTCCCGCAGCTCAACGAACGCAGGGGAGCTTGATTGAGTTATAGAAATAAATTGGTAGAGTTAAATAACCCCAATGAAAAGGAAAAGACGGTCAGGAAAAGGAACAGCACCTGGCCATCGAAAGATTTTGAATTCAGTGGAACATTACTTTTCTGTAATGTTTTTTTTTTTTTTGTTGTTATTCTTTCTTCTGTTTTGTCTTCAGGACACGACGTTTCTCTAATGTCATTTTTTCCCCCCTTTTTTCTGTTTCGTCCTTACGTCACTCGGTTACTCTCTCTCTCTCATAGACATAGTAAATTTAATTTACGACAAGAGACCCTGGCGCATTCAGTGCCTCAATTAGTGTGCAAATATAAATACACCTCCAGATGTCACCCGTGCAGAGTGATGCGCAGTCCGCCCGTTGGTGTCCTGCGTGCCGCAATAACGGGTGCTGACTGATGATCGGTGATGGTTGAATGCCCTCCGTCTTCGTCGTTGTTGTTCTTGTCGTTGTTTATATATGTATATAAGTATCAGTTGTCGGGCAGTCGTTGATGCTTAACCACAGCCCGGGTTAAGGTGGATTATCACTTACAGTGTAATCTGTTAGGTAGGGCATTCTGCAGCCTGTTTTTGAGGGTTCATCCTCTTCCTGATGAGTCGGTAGGTGAAACTCCGACGACGAAACAGTTTGTCACAGCCCCTCTTTTTTTGTCCTCTTCTCCTCTTCTCCCTCTCTGCCTACCATTTACCAGGCAGCTCTGTTTGACTATATAGAGTCGGTGAAACTCCGACGAAACAGTTTGTCACAGCCCCTCGTTTGTTGTCCTCTTCTCTCTCTCTGCCTACGGTTTACCGGGCAGTTCTATTTGTGACGATATGTATATACCTGCTCAGCCTACATCCACGTGAACAGCCCGCTCAGCCTGCATCCACGTGGGCGGCCTTGTATGCAAGAGGTTCTGAACAGGGGGAGTCGTAAGAAAGAAGATTAAAAAACGAATTATATTTTTCTTGTTTTCTTGTCTTTTTTGCCTTTGCGCTCTCATATTCATGTGACGATATATATACTGACCTACCTCATTGTAACTGCACAGGTTCGGCAGAAGGCATTGCGCCAGCTGGAGATGAACCTCGCTTCACATGAGATCAAGGAATTGCAGCCTGGCGGTAGATTCGAGGGGCGTAGAGAAGAGTACGCAATGCGCACGTATCAGTTTTACATTTGCTGCAAATGCCGCAAACCGTACTTTGGCGGGGAAAGAGCATGTGGAGAGGCAGCAGAGGGGGAGGCGAGGGTTGGGGAAGGAGGAGAGGGTAGGGAAGAGGGAGGGGATGGCAATCGGCGGCCTTGGCACCAGAGAGGTCCGCGTGACTGGTTTGGCTGGCAGCAAAGTGGGTTTGAAGAGCAGGAGAGAGATCACCAAGGAGGTGGGGGGGGGGGGGGGGGGGGGGGGGGCGATCAAAGAGAGCAAGGAAGAAACAGGGGCTATAATGCCGCCGATCTCATTTGCGGAGGGTGTTCGTCGGGAGCTGCAAACCGCGAACACTGCAAAGCTGTGCATGGAAAAGAGTATGTGCAGTACAAATGTAGGTACTGTTGCTCTGTCGCATCATTCTTTTGCTGGGGCAAGACACACTTTTGTGAACGTTGTCATGAAAAACGCCCTGACGTGCATCGCTCCCTCATCGCCCCGAGATGCCAGGGCCCAAAGTACTGTCCACTGGGTGTTTCTCATCCACCTCATGGGACAGAGTTCTGTCTTGGCTGTGCATTGTGCAGATTCAAAACATCTTAGGCAACTGTGGGGGGGCAAGGGGGGGGGGGGGGGGGGGAGAGAGAGAGAGAGAGAGAGAGAGAGAGAGAGAGAGAGAGAGAGAGAGAGAGAGAGAGAGAGGTTGTAAATTCTCATTTGCTTATTGTGTATATCAATCAGAAGAATTATCGAGTTGAGGCATTCTTAACTTTGTTTGCCATTTGGAGGAGGAAAAGGAGCATGTCATGTGTGGAAGAGCAAGGCAGAGGCGGGTGGTAGCTGGAAACCAATGTGCCAAATGTGGTGAATTGTTGAGGTCGTCGAGCACTACTGGAGATCTTGTTTAAGTAAATCCTTCGTCTGACGTGCTTGTGTTTTTTCCCTGCCAAGATTGTTGAAGTACCGGTACGTCAGCGCCTCTGTTCGTCGTGGGGGAGATCTCCTAGCATGAGAGCAGACCAGCACATAGCTGCAGTTTGTCCCGCGGGACCGAGTCTAATGATTGTTGAAGTACCGGTACGTCAGCGCGTCTGTTCGTCGTGGGGGTGCGCACACGGTGTGCTACGCTTTGCCGAATTGCCAGTGGCGCACTTTTTTTTTTTGGGCTGTCACCACCGGCTATTGTGGTTTGATAGCCCCGAGCCCCCATAATTTTCGGATTGGCCAGACACGGATTCCTCATGTTTGCCTGGATGATGTATTTTCCACAAAAAAAAAAAAAGACCTACTCCTAAAGTAAGTCCACATTGCGTTCTTTTGAAGCATTTATTTTTTTTGCCGAATAAAAAAATAAATAATAAAAAAATAAAAATAAATCCATTTGAGTAAGTTTGACCATCAGTGATGGGAGCGCGGGGGATATGAGGGACGAGGGTTAGGGCGAGCGCCTGTTTAGCAAGACGACATCTGCAGCATCGGGAAGAGGGTTCACTAGGGTTTTCCTACCATAGTTAACTGCAGCCCGGGTGGACGAGGGCTCACTACAGTCTTCCCCCGAATACAACGCACGGTCATTATAGCTGAATTTGGTCTAAAAGATAGACCAAATTCAGCTATAATGACCGTGCGTTGTATTCGGGGGAAGACTGTAGGGTTAGTACTACTACCGTAGTTTTAGTTCCCAATCTGGGGGGAGTGTAGGCTGAGGCAGACGGCTCTGATGATGGAAAATGGTTGTGCATTAGTGTGCAGACTCGCAGAGTGTAATAAAAGGGATGCTGCACCCAGTTTCCAGCAGGCGATGCTCTGCGCGATATATAGAAAGAAATGAAAAAGAAAGCACACGGACACAAAAAGAAAAAGAAAAGAAAAGAAAAGAAATAAAAGAAAAGAAAAGAAAAGAAAAGAAATAAAAGAAAAGAAAAGAAAAGAAAAGAAAAAAGTGGAGGTGTAGGTGTTATCGAGGTTATATCCCTTTTCTATACTAGTCCGACCAGGTGCAGTCGTGGTCTCCCGTAACAGATTTTCTGTTGGCTCGTAAAATTGGTCCATATCTGTGTTTTATTTCGTGACTTTCTTTGGTGAATTGGCTTTTCTGTTCGGGAAGAACAGAAAAACGTCGGGACGTTTTCTCTCTGCATCATAACCTTTTGTGCTGAGTGGGACGTGGAGTTGTGTGACCTGGCAGTGGAGTAGTTTGTGGTCACCACACTGGTCAGCGCAAATGCTGGATAAAGGGGTGACACTAAGTAGAGCCTGGGCTGGGTCTGCAACATAGCCCTCGAACAGGCAAAAGCCTCGAAAAGTGCACGGACGACTCTGACCCTTATATTCGAGTACCTACCAGACGTAGCGAGCACGAACGGACGAAGATGGCCCGCTGAAACGACCAACTCGAGAAAACAACCAATATGAGCACGACACGACAAACATCCAGCGGAAACAACAGCCCCCCCCCGATATGTCCAACGTGCCAAAACAACCAACTCCCTGAGAGAACAACCCCCCCCCCCCCCCCTCCCCCCCCTTCGAAACGACCCAACCTGAGCATGAAACAACAAAACAGGGCCCCGATGCAACAGTTCCCAAAATGGCCACATTACCAAAACAAACCGACTCCTCGAAACGACCGACTCGAGGAAACGGCCGACTGAAGAAAACCACCAACGCGAGAGCACAAAACGACAAACATCAGAACAGGAGCACAAAAGGACAAACCTCCTCCTCAGAACCCCCTCGAAACGACCCAACTCGAGGACAATAGGTCCCGAAATGGCCAACTTGCCAAAACAACCAACTCCCGAGACAACAGCGCCCCCTCGAAATGACCCAACTCGAGGAAACGAGCAACGTGAGCACAAAGTGACAAAATCATCTTCCCAAAACAGGTCACTGGAATGACAAACTGACCGAATCAACCAACTCACAAGGCGACAACACGTCTGCTCGGCGAAAAAAAAAGAAAAAAAAAAAAAAGGGAGCTCTCCAAAACCGACTCTATGATCGGTCTAACCTGCGCACTCTGCCACGTCCGTGGGTCTGTCTGCATATGAATATAAATTTATAAAACATATCTACAAGCTTTGCCTTTTTTTGATTGACCAGATTAGTATGTTTCTATCATGGCACAGGAACATGCATGATTCACGTGTTCCCCCCCACCATTCCGGGGTCCCCTCGGATGGGCCTGTTTTGCGGTCACACCTGTCGCTAAGCAACCTTCTTCTCTTTTTTTTTTTTTGCTTGCATTTTTTTTTTTTAATGTTATTGTCAGGGTAATGCCGATGATGATAAGCTTGTTCTTTCTTTCCGTTGGGCATGCCGCACCAGTCACCCAATGTGGAAAATGGAGCATGTATCATTCCCTTTATTGAGGAAAGATACGCCTGCCATAACTTTTCCCTTTTCCACACTGGCGAGTGGTGTGGCCAGAGACCCCATGACCATTAGTACACGTGCTTGGACTCACTGCTCTCAGGTCAGACTCCCACCAAATTCTTCACCCAAATAAAGGGCCGGGGCATTATCACTCCATCTGGATCTGGACTTAAATTTGACCCAAATACAGCTGCTACAGTGACGGGGCGTTCCATTCAGGTGACGACGGCGGTACTTTCCTGAATTTATCTCGGGGGATATCCACGTTGTTGTGGATGCATCTGACTGCAATTCCATCCAGATGACAGTCAAAAAAGTCCTTGTGCGAGGAAATGTTTGCAGGCAACCAATTCGTATACATAACGGACGAAGGAGAAAAGCTACGGACAAAAGAGAAACAAAAAAGCAGTCGTCGTGGATGCATCTGACTGCAATTCCATCCAGATGACAGTCAAAAAAGTCCTTGTGCGAGTATATGTTTGCAGGCAACTAATTCGTATACATAACGGACGAAGGAGAAAAACTACGGACAAAAAGAAAAACAAAAAAGCAGTCAATAAATTAATGACGATGTTAAACTGCCACTGTCCACCAGTACTTGGGCCCAGCTGTCGTCCGCAGTGAAAAAATAGAGTGGAAACGAATCGAGTAGAAACGAGGGGTAGGAAGGTAGTGAAAGGTGAAAGACTCTGACGGGCAAATAGAGCCCAGTTTTGAAAACCACCAGAACACACCGAGCGTGGGGGGCTCGCGTAATTGGAGTTGTGTGGATGGGTGTTTTATTCTTTTTTTTTTTTTTTCCTGAGGTATTCCTAGAGAGTATGCATACCTGTGTAAGTAATTTAGTACAACATGGGAAATTTGGTCCCTAAAGGGCCTTTGTATTTGACTGGCCGCCGACCAAAAAAGAGAAGATAGCCATGTTTGACAATTATTTTTTAGCCATCTTTCCAGAAATCTTTCTTATAAATGCCACTATCTTATTACTTATCTATGGAGTGATTTGATTTTGAGCACTTCAAAAAGATATGATTATCCACCAAAAAAAAAAAAAAAAAAAAAAAGTGCGGAATGTGGGGTGGTTGGGCTTACGGAGTGTTTTGATGACAATTCTATTGCTGATCAATAATCGTCACGCAACCAGGGGCCTGGTCCCATTAGCAAAGAGGATTGGATTTAATTCCCGAATCTGGACGTGTTTGGCGCACAGATGCAGAAAAGCTGATCAATCTCAATTTTATGCATCTTTCCACAAACATGTCCAGATTCGGGAATTAAATCCAATCCTCTTTGCTAATGGGACCAGGCCCCAGGCATTGTCATTCAGTAGTCACGAGTATCAGAAATTTTTCGGAGTGAGCCCAAAAAAAAAAAAAAAAAAAAAAAAAAAATGTTAATCGGTTTGTCAAGTTGCCTGGGGTTGTGTACTGGCTGTTAAAAAGAACAAGTGGATGCCCGCCGTTCCTGCGGTAGGGGCCAAGAGCACGACCGGAAAAAAAAAAAAAAAAAAAAAAAAAACGTTGCAATGGGGAAGAATCTTCCGGTAGAGCACGTCAAGGCACACCACCAGCCGCTCTCTCTCTCCATCTGGGTCCTCCTCCCTTCTGTTGGATCGACATCCTTTCAAAAAAAAAAGAAAAAAAAGAAGAAAGTACTCGTCCTCCGGTTCCTCATCGGCCCCTACCACTGGCTTCCCTCCTTGTCCCTCCTTGCCCATCCCGCTGTTCTCCCTCTCCATTTCGGTTCTCCTCCCTTCTGTCGACCGTTCCCTTCGTCTGCTCCGGTTCTCGATCCCTTGCCTTTGTTCCCTGCTCCCGCATCCTCTCCAGCTCGTCTTCCAATCGTGCCGCTTCCGTGCCATTTCCGTGCTCATCGTCTTCGCTTCTCTGCATGGTCAACCGCTGTCCTCTTCACTTCCCTCCCCGCTCGTCCCAACATTCTCTCTATGTCTCGGTCTTCCTTTCTGTCAATCGACCCCTTCCTCTGCTTCCACTCTCGATCATTTCTTCTGATCATGCTCCTTCCATCCTCGACCATACCACCATCTTCTCTCTTTATCTTGTTCCCTGATCGCCTTCCTCCCTCACTCCCTCTCGTTCGGCTCCCTTCCTTGCCTCACGGTCTTCCTCCTTGGCTCTCCCTCGCTCTTCTCCTTTCGTTCCTCGCTTTCCAACGTACGTCTCCACATCAACGTTTCCCACCTGCCGACCCGAAACTTCAGCAGGCCCGTATTCTCTGATCTTGTGACCGCTTCCCGCCTCAAACCTGTGCCCTTCTTCGTCGACATCACGTTGGATGCTCTCTCTCTCTCTCTCTCTCTCTCTCTCTCTCTCTCTCTCTCTCTCTCTCTCTCTCCTGTCTCTTATACACATCTAGATGTGTATAAGAGACCTCTCTCTCTCTCTCTCTCTCTCTCTCTCTCTCTCTCTCTCTCTCTCTCTCTCTCTCTCTCTCTCTCACGACAGAGCCCCAATAGCGTTCGCGTGTGCCACTCACCAGCTGACCACCCTCAAAACAAGTGTCGCCCACCAGCCGCCCCGAAACTTTTTATCAGGGCACTGAAACGGTTTGCCCATGGCCCTGATGAGCCGTGGACGGCACGGTTAGCAGTTGATTTGTTGCCAGATGAAACATAGGGGCAAGGTCCTTTTTTCCGGATGGCGATAAGTACATGCAGACAGGAGGGTCTTTTTTTCGGATAGGTGCTTTGGCCCTGGCGGCTAACCCAGGCCGCAGGACGGGACGTTGGGTTCGTGGTCATGATGTGTGACCTGATTTCGGCGTTGTTGGCCCCTTTGAGCCTGGGCCTGGTTGGGAGTTTGTGTTGGTGTGGGCTCAAATTTGGGTGGAGGGTGGTACTAGGGTGGTACTGGGGTACCTGGCTCGTCGTCTGGTGGCTGTGTGTAGCCACGTGGGTGTTGACGATACAGTGGGGAATTTGGTGGGACTCGGGAGGGAACAATGGGACTGAAATCCGTTGATGCATGAGCATAAGAGAATTGATTGTAGGACAGTAGATCCTCTTTCGGTGCGCGTTCTACCGCAGCGCACACTGACGATAGACTGTGAGGGTTGGTGTCGGCCATGTACGAGATTTAAAAAAAAAAAAAAAAAAAGGAGGCCACATGCCGGACCGGACTGCAGTTGCGAACTCGGCCTCGCGACTTTTATGCGTGTGAAGTGTTTTGACTGCAGTTGAAACTTGGGACGGTCCTTCGGGACATCCGTTAAAATTGGAACGATACAGAGAAGATTAGCATGGCCCCTGCGCAAGGATGACACGCATAAATCGAGAAATGGTCCAAATTTTTATTATTTACAAAAAAAAAAAAAAAAAAAACTTGGGAAGGTACTGAACTCCAAAAAGGCAGTTCGAACTTCGAAATGCATTTACAAACTGCTTTCGTGACTGCGCCCTAGTTCCCCCCCCAGGCCCCCCCCAAAAAAAAGAGATGATGGTCAGAGATGGAGTGTTAATGTGAGTGATCTCAATTGAAAAGGGGCCTCGCCACACAAGTGTGTCGAAACGAAAAAAAAAACTATGAGTGCATCTTTTCCTCAGAAAGTGGCTAGATGCATCGGTTCATAGTAACGGATGCATCTTGCCACCCTCTGAAGGAACATGCACTCGATTCTTTCTTGTTTTTTTGGTGTGCTGATATGCCCAACGTGTGAGTGTGAGCCAGAAATGGGGCCTCGCTGCAGTACTCTCGAAATGTGCAAAACGAGAGTGAATCTTCTGCTAGAATAGGGAACGATGCACGGCCATGATTTTTATCTTTTGTGCGTGTCGAGAGTAGTGCAGCCAGCCAGTCCCATGGCGTGCTGAATCTGCTAATGCCCAAAGTGTGAGTGTGAGTGAACTCAGTTAGAAAAAGTGCGTGTGACTTTTTTTTTTTTTTTTTTTGATTTTTTTTTAAACCGCTAGTACCTTTGTCGTTTCGGAAAACAGCTGGCCTCATACCTTTCGGGAGAGGCCGAAACGAAACAACTGCCGCCTATTAGATTTTAGATTTATCGCCGTCTGGCCCTGCCTCTCCGAATTCTTCGGGCGTTTTCCCTCATTTCTGAAGCGCCAAAGGTACTGGTGGTTTAAGCCCAACCAATTTAATTACCTGTCGAATCCGGACAGGACTGCCTTTCAGGCCTCTTTTTGTTCATTATTGTATCACGGGGAACCCCATAGCAGCCATATGCCCTGCCTGATGATGATCACTGGCACACAGCTTTTTCCGTTTTGTATCACCTTTTCCAGAAATTTCGAATTCGAGAGAAGAGGGGAAAAAAAAAAAAAAGAAAGAGAGAGATTCAAGATATAATAAGTTTGAGATGAGCCAGTTTTTTTTTTCTTTTTTTCTGAAGAGAAAAAAAATTGGAAGACATACGAAATTTTGAGAGCAATTCCTCGGGGAATATTTAGATTGCGATGATAATTTTCGTTGACTTTTTGAGTTGCTGGGATTGTGAAATTGACAGTGGGGTTAAATCTAGTGGTGTCCTCTATGTGTTTGGCCGATGATGCCTTGCGGCCCTTGCCCACTGAGGGCCCCACATAATTTTGTAAGGGACGCCGGGCCCGAATCCCGGCTTTTATAAAGACATTGTTCATTTGGAAAAGAAAGACAAATTTTGAGAGCAACGCCGGACCCGTTTTCCGGCAATTATAATAGAATGCGGTTGTTTTGGGGGAAAAAAAAAAAAAACCCTGGAGAGCAGAGGAAATTGAGAGGAGGGCCCATTTCCCACCACCTGGAGGGAGATCCCACTAACAATGTATGTGGAGTAGTGTGACGGTTGCGGGACGTGCGGGCGACATCCGTGTGGCATCCTTTACTCCGCGATAAATGTTGAAAAAAACAATAATGCCGCAATTCTGACAACGCAATGTTGTCCACCCGCCGCGAACTGCGGTCAGCTGTCAGGTTGTGGATCTTCTGATGATTCCGCTCCGCTGGTATGTTGTGCATGTGGACGGTTCATGGACCATGTACATGAGGCCAACACACATTTGTTAAGGTTCCCCAACGAGAGGGGCTTGGAATGACAGACAAGCTGTGGAAGACTCTG